TTTGCGATTGGAGCGATTTTGCACCAATTGCAGGAGCGACGGGAGATTTACACCGCCGACCACCGATAATTCGGCGCCATCAGTTCGTAAATCTCCCGTCGCTCGCAGCTCCCTGCCACAACGGCGCCGAATTATCGGTGGTCGGCGGTGTAAATCTCCCGTCGCTCCTGCAATTGGTGCAAAATCGCTCCAATCGCAAAGTCTGACATCGGCCACTACGGGGACATACTGGAGGGAAGCCCCCGTAGTGACGAGGGATGTGCTCTCTGGGAGGGAACGAACAGCCTGATATTTCGACTATTACGAACTAGCAAATAATTGTAAAGGGTAAATAGTATTCAAACTGCCATGACTTCCGAGTGAGTAAAGTGCACCAAGAAAGATTTTATCGTCGCTGAAAGCTTAATCCTTGCATATGACCTGATCCAATCTCCCCTTCTTTCATCTTATCGTGATCAGTAGCCCTTTCACCACTAGTGATGCCCATGGATGGCCGTCGACGTTTGCATGTTTCGCATGGTTACTGTGTGTACCACCGGGGTGTCAAAGGAGTAAGACTCAGCCTTCTTTAGGACGATGGTGTTTTAAAAAAATGACTTTATTTCGTAGCGCCTATCTCTCTGTCGGAACCTTTTTTTGTTCGAAACCGTGCGTTACGGGACTACCGCAATAGATCAACTTCAAACAAAACAGTTCCTCCTCCTGGTTGTTCGAAGTTCCTGTTTTCGACGGCCTTCGCACATTGAACGACCTTCACTGTACTGGAAATAGGGGTAAACAATCATATATTTCTTCCACGCCACTGCAAATATTTCTATCCGTTCAGAAGTTAGATTTGTGGTCAACCGCCCCGTTACTGAACTTTTTCGATTTCTCTACCAAACATCCTGGGTCATACAAAATAAAGAATTCATTAATGTGTTTCCAAAGTCGTGTGACGTAGAGAATCAAACAGTCGGTGTTGACCATCATTCAGCTCGGAATGTGCCGTGCATTCGACTTCCCTTGAGAATTATAATGTGAGAAGTGTGAGGCCTGAACACTGCACAGCTTGCAATGAAGTGTACTTTGATGTGAAGTTCTATCTTAATTTTCTCATTTCTGAGAAATCTGAGCGGTGGCACTCTCGTGATTTCCTTTTTTGCTTTTTTCACGTGACTTTTTCTTGTTTATTACTTTTTGTTTTTTTTTCGGTAGCCCCTCTGCACTTCGCCAGGCATTCATCAAAACACGCGCCTTGCAAAACACATTGCGACGTGGTGTTCCACTGGCATGCGTCCAACGTGCATCGGGTGAACTGAAGGGAAACGGGCTTCACATCATTACGTTTATCCATGTACTCACCGAAGATGTGGCCCTCCCGATGCCCCTACATATTTGAAGTTAAAAGCAGAATTCAGGGCGGAAGTGGTGTAGTGGCAAGTGGCACGCTTACCACGCGAGCGGTCCGGGGATCAAATCCTGGGTCGTGAGTCGCCGGGCCAACCAAGCCTTCCATCCCTCCGGGGTCGGTTAATTGGTACCAGACTTGTCTGGGAGGATAAAAACACTGACTTGTACATCGGCTGGCCCCGCAAGTCATTGTATAGGCCACATCGCATTCAAACGCCACTACGAATGTACAAATGGAAGTAGAATGCGTGCCGCATCCCAAAAAGGGATTGATCAACGGCAAATGCTTTATCCTTTTTACCATTTTGATTGCTAGTTTTGGGTATTTCCTCAGACCGTTCGGTTTTATCTCTAACTACCACTAGCTGTGAAAACTGGACACCAGGGAAAAATAGCCATCTCATAAAAAAACGAGAGGATTAATCGGGCAACTTAATAAATATCGGTATTATAGAGAAGTTCGAACCTCATAGGCAAGTCGCATTCCACCATTGTCAGCTATATTTTCACCTATGCTGGATCGACCGTCAACCTGGAAATTTTATTACACATAGCTACTTCAGCGACTTATATAACTGTAGTAACCTGAGCTCGAATGAGTGCATCATGGACTCAAAAGGTTCAAAGGTTGTTATTGTTGAGGAAGGTGAGCAGTAAGTAGCAAACTGACGTTTTTGTGTGTGGCGGGTTCGACTTGCTTGCCGTACTGATTGATGAAGCACTGCCGCCTTTGTCGGAACGTCTCCAAAGTGCCCTCGTCCCACCAACCTCTCAGGCTACCGTTCGCGTCATATTGAGCTCCTGAAGTACGGTTCCCCTGTGGGATTTCTGATGGACTTGAATTCTCGAGATTGCTCACCTAGATCGTCGTATCCGTGCGTGATTTCATGGCCAACTGCTATTCCTATCGACGCATAATTTAAATAGAACGGAGCTTCGGGAATGAAGATTGGGTACTGCAGAATGCCAGCCGGAAAAACTAAAGAAAGGGTAATTTAAAAAAATTTCTGAAGTTTCTGGGAATTAAGAAGCACTTATAAGCAATGTACATTTTACTCGATGCATTCGAAATTTTCCTACGCGATATGATTTTTCTGTGTTCTAGGACTCCTAAGACTAATAAGTTAATGAGTTTCGAAACATTCTATTCGTTGGACATTTAGACAAACGTTTCCTACGATGTTTATGGTTTCGTCATACTCTTTATGATCGTAGTTGACGGATTGCATTTCACTGCCATTATTTTGCATTATTATTGCCTATGAACTGCCGAACTGGTTTGCTCATTTGGTTCATTTGTCATGAACTTCTACGGTTCGGGTTTCTCACTAACCATAAGCTTGCCCTTTGCAAGCTATAATGTATACCTAGACAAGATATTTTTGTTGGAACAAATCAGAAGAATTTTTCGCGCTGTTCAATTCTGCTTAGTGAGGCTGCCTGTTACGCTCCTAATCCTAAGCCATCAATTTCTGTAGAGAATGGCTCAAAATTCAAAACCCATCGTTCGCAATGGGAGAAATTAAGTAGACGCTGATTGTTGGGGAACTGCCAAGCTGTTAAAGGCATATCTTGCGATGAATTCAGCACGATAAAGCTAGAAACTACTAAGGGTGGTAGGTGCGTCAAGGCGGATGTGCTTTAAACGGTTTTATCAGACTCCAAACTGGGGTCGGTCGTAACATTATCTCTGTCGCTTCGTTGATCTTCTGTGCAGTTTTCCCTTGGGATCTTTTCTTTTTCAATACCTCGTACCTTCGCCATCTTATTCTAAAATTTCTAAACTGTGAATGGAAGAGGGTAATGGTAAAAAAAAACAAAAGAAGAGCGTAATATTATGTTCTGGTGTTTTTGCTGGCCAGTCCCAGTTCACTTTTAACTGCATTTTTCCCCTGTTGGCGATATCGCCATATACGCCTGGGCCTCAGAGTGCCTTTTAATTCTCGTTATATTGCTATATTCTGGCCATAATAGACATTGAAGCACACTGTATGTAATCATTCAAAACACTGCTCCTCTGCAGTAAATATTTCCAAAATCGGAATACTAGATACTGACCTATTTCGTTGCCTGTGAACGAATAGAAGGCGTCAACAGCAATCACTGGAAAAGCCCATTCGTCCAGACCTGGCTTTCGTCTCAAGTCGTTCAGATTGTCTCTAAAACAGACGTTTTCTCCTATATAAATGGCTCCTGACCATGCTTTTCTCACCGTATAGATGCTTTTCTCAATTCCAAGGCGTTGTCAAAATAGCGATCTGCTACCAAATGAACGCCCTTGAAAGGCCGTAGAACCTCGGTTTCATTGAAAATATAGTCAGGAAATCTTAAAAATGCCAATTGCTATAGCCCGTCACGCTCGACTAGAATACCACTAACCCTATCTTATATCTCATGGTCTCGAGTTTTTTCAAAGCGGCTGCCCTTGTTGTTTCGTCCATCCATTCGGCATCCAGTAGGAGAGTTTTCATAGAATTCTTGAAGTCGCCTATCATCTCTATAGCCTAAAGAGCATCTCTTTGAATAGAATTTTGCCTTCAAAGTATACTAGTAACCTTCTTCCTGTCTTCCGCCGAGAAGTAGGTGTCAGCAAAAGGCTGTCGCCAACGGCATACCGAGGTAGTCAATTATTTCTTGCACACAAATCTCCCATCGTGGTGCCTTCAAAAAGATGCAGTTATACTGGTTGTTGAATAATCAACTTAGGTTTTCAATATGAAGGTCCTGCCAAGCTGAGCTTTCAACTGAATAATGACAGAAAAACAAAAATTGTTTCTTTTTTTTGCTCGCCAGTCTTGCTGACTAGGTGGGCCCTTGTTGCGAACGAGTTGGGTGTAGTATTTCACCCATTTTCAGGTGAAAGTAGTACATATTTTTGCAGAACGTTGCCAATCCTCTTGAGAGCCTAGCTTCGAGGAGTGTTTAGGCTTCATAACTTCAGAGGCGGATTTTAAGATGAGAAGGCAGCCCATTGAAAATTAGCTTAGAGGTGGTCAGTGGTGCACGAAAGAAGAAAAAACCAGAGAAAAACGGCCAGAACCCGAGAAATGGGACCCTTCTTTGCCCGTTGGTTTGCGCATTGATGCAACTCTCATCACTGCAGCCCCCCTAAGCGCCACTCCTCAGCGCCAACGCTCTCTCTCTCTCCCTCTCTCTCTCTCTGTCAACGGCTAGAGGCTCATTTTTCTACTCTCTCTCTCTCTCTATCTGTCAAACGGCCAGAGGCTCATACACGAGACTTAGCGAGAGGGGGCGTACCGCGCCAATATCGCACCAATCGCGCCGCGGGGAAGGTCGTTCCAGATCGCGGGGGCATATCCTTCAATGCGAATTGCTTGGTGATCCGTGCCCTCAGGAGGTCTGCCTGCCTCTCCATTACGTATTTTTCCCTTTCACCGATATTTGGCCTTGCGTGGATTTCTTTAATTCACACGAGAAACTCTTGGTGTTGCTGTTTTGATTTATTGTAGATGTCTGGTTCTGTCTCTTTCTCAATCTGGTGTGTTTCTTTTTTTTTCTTTTGTTTTTTTTTTGTTGTTTGTTTTTCTTTTTCGTTTGTTTTTTTGCTTGTTTTTGTTTTTGGTTTTTTTTTTTGTTTTTGTGTTTTTTTTTTTTTGTGTGTTTTGTTGTTGTTGTTTTGTGTTGGTGTGGTGTTTGTGATTGGACAAAAAGCTACAAAAACGCACTGGACAAAGCTGGAAAATGCTTCTTCAGTACATTTATTCATGAAAGAGATTGTTATCATATTTCCGTTGCAAAACATGCATTCAGAGACAGCATATAAAACCCCGCATCAATTCCGCGACTTGATACAATACACGTGTTTTACTGAAGTTTGCTCACCTCAGCTGTTTTACCGTACATGTTGGAGTGAAATTGTTGAAGAGGACGGCGATACTGCTGAGAAAGGTACACGTCAAAGGAGGATACCAAACGGAACATCATGTAGTTATTGATGCAACTGAAAAACAGCTTTTGAATTCGTTTCATAGCCGTTTCCATCCATGGATGATACATTCTATGTACACCGAGAACCGAAAAGCTACAAAGATAAAGCACCTGCACTTGCAAGTTTTCAAGACCAAGGAAAGCAATGGTCGCGGAATCTGCGACAACAAGGGAGGGGTTGCGCGCTGACGAAAAGCTGCACGCTGCAGGCGGTGGAGCCAATATGATGATAAAACATTGGTTCTTCTTCCATTCAGTCGTTATCGAATTGCTATACGAAGTATATAAACAATAACAACATTTATACATATTATAAAAAACAAGAATTTGCAATATCACTCAATATGGCCTCTTTTGGACTTGGCAACTTCCTTCAGACGAGCACGATACGCTTCGACTGCTGCCCGTATGACATCCTGTGCAATTTCATCCCAAGCGTAGAGCAGCTTTCAACGATCCAATCGAACTACAGTTTTTAGCTCAGGCCTCTGCCTCTAAGACGATAGTATGGCCGGGTTACAGGCTTTTGCGATCGAGCGATTCGTAACTCGGCGGACAGCGGACCTATCTTATTTAGGAAGGCCGTGGGAGGGCAATCGCTGAGCCATATAAAGGGCAGTTAGCAGCCGTTTCTAGAAAATGGTGGAAAGATGGTTCTTCTCAAGGCGTCTCCGCCTTCTACGCGCACGTGAAGATATATTCTTCCATTTCATTGCATTAAGACGCACACTCTAAAGTTGACATATTTTTGCGGAAATAAACTGAAGAAAAGCGTCTAGTGCCACTAAAGTGCCATTGCACTTATACTAATTCCAACAGCGATCAATTGGCAAAGACATGTTGCCGTTACACAAGGACAATGATCAACTTCTTGATATCCTTCTATTTTATAAAGCGCTAACTTTGTGTGTCGGTTTGTGTATCTGTATGTGTGTGTGTATGTATGTGTATGTGTGTCCGTCCGCAAAATGAAGTGAGTGAGAAGGAAGCTCATGGGATAAACAAACCGCTAACAAATCGGGTAGCTTACAGGATTTGAGATATCAATGTTTTGTAGCAGGATAGTTGTGATAACACTCTTAGGGCTATATAAACACCTGCTTAGCACACTTCCGTTCATTCCACATGGTGCTGCAGTGGCAGCTGGAGGGCAGTGGAGAGAGGAAGGGAGGATGAGGAAGGGAAGCGAAAAATCTACCGTCATATCATGATTGTGTCCCTTCTACTGTATGAAACACCATTGTGTTGCATACGCGTCACTTCCAGGAGGTGTTGGTGTCACAGGAGGAAGGGACCATAGCGGAGGATAGAAAGCTTGCGCAGGAAAGGAAGGTCCCGGCGGTTGACGGGGGACTAATAACCGAAGTTTGGTGTGTCGGTTTGTTTGTGTGTATGCACGTCTGTCTGTCCGTCCGCAAAATGGTCGACTAGAGGCGAGAGATATCGTGATTGTGATAACATTTTCCCACCAGTAGATAAACAACCATCCAGTAAGGTCGAATTCATTTCAGGAGGGTGGCTATGGCTGTGTGAGTTGAGTCGGGTCTATGGAGGATCACCGCGCGACGTCGTACATACGTGCGGCATGCCGCGTGTCGGAAACCGTGCGACGAATTTGAGCGAGATCTATGCGTTTGATGCTTCACGCGCATGTGCATTCGCCAGCTACTTTTCTTTGTTTCTTTTCTCTTTCACTTTTGTTATGTGGGGTGGTACCTGGACATTGTGATGGGTGACAAAGACAATAGCAATTGATAGAAGCGCTGATTTTAAGGAAACTTTGAAGGCAAAAGACGTCAATGCGGCTTGCGCAGTCCACGTTAAAACTAGAGTGTTCTTACTCGCGTATTATGGGGGGGGGGGGGGTGGGTGGGACGTGGACATTCCATCGATATAATCAGCCTAGCTTGAGCAGATTCTTGGCGAATGGTGCATTTCGTTGTTGATCTAATACCAAGGAGACCAGAATTCATTCAATGACCGAAACCTTAGGCATTTCGAACACTGTAGAAGAAAGATAAGTGTAGAAGCCCAATTATTATAAGTGAGCATGTTTCATTCTAATTTTGAGGCTAACAGCATAACCCTATTCACCGCTAAATTATCAGAATTCAGGAGAATGCTCAGTGTTTACAGGGCTATGTGTGATAAAACCTGGAGAGCCCGCGGAACCTTAGGTCATGTGATGCGCGCGATACCGGGCGGAGCAAAGCTGGTAAAGGATAAAGCATTTGCCGTTGATCAATCCCTTTTGGGATGCGGCACGCATTCTACTTCCATTTGTACATTCGTAGTGGCGTTTGAATGCGATGTGGCCTATACAATGACTTGCGGGGGCCAGCCGATGTACAAGTCAGTGTTTTTATCCTCCCAGACAAGTCTGGTACCAATTAACCGACCCCGGAGGGATGGAAGGCTTGGTTGGCCCGGGCGACTCACGACCCAGGATTTGATCCCGGACCGCTCGCGTGGTGAGCGTGCCACTTGCCACTACACCACTTCCGCCCTAAGGACTATGAACAGAGAGAAAATTCTCACAATTTCAAAACAATTTGGTATTAATTGACTGCTTTATAGGATGGAAGCACGGGCAGGATCCGATCTCAAAGAACACTCAAGCGTTGACTTTGGTGTCACTACTTCGCGAATCCTCCTGCATCACAAATGGAGCAAACGGAATCTTCTCACCTTAGAGGTTTCGACTTCACTAACGCGGACAAGCCTTCGAAATAACCCAGATCGTACAAGTTTACCGTAACGTTATCGTCCATCGGTCCGAGATGTGCGAGAAGTTTCTTCGCTTAAAAAACAGATTCAATGGATTAAAAAGACCATGTCACTTTAACTTCAATCTTTGTACTGATACTGGCCACTACCCACTCTGGATACGCCTCACGCAATTCGCAATGTCATAAGGTTAGTCGAGATGCGGAGTGTGTTGAGTCATATACCGTCGAAAGTTGACAACTGAAAATTACTACTAAGATAATTATATTCAAGTAAAAAAAAGGTTGACCGAACCGCTACCGGTCAAGCCTATTGAAAACGCGCTATGCATTCGAGCTGCACTGCAGGAGCTGATTCTTATTGCCATGATAAACAGATGGGGATCATCTTCAACCTGCTTCAAATCTCAGGATCAGCCAAAGGAAGAGGAAGAAACTGCGTGGGGGACTCGATCGCCTTTCACGTACGTAGCGCTAGAGCGGAAACCATGCTTCTAGTCGCTGCGCTACATTTCTCTCGAAAATCTCACGAAGGCGGCACAACGCTTTGCATGGAACCTACATTAGCTATACGCCTTTCCAAGTCAATAATGTCGTTAACTTGATACTCGATTCCTGCCGTGTCGTCGTCCATGTCTGCGCCTGGAAATATGAAATGGAAACCTTCTGCCCCAATAATCATAGCTAAACTTCTACTGACCCTAGCATTTTGAGTACATTTGTAATGTACTGCCTGTAGTACGAGAGGTAGGCATTTGTTGACGGTGCACCTCGATAGAACTTTTTCTTCTCCAAGAATAATTTGGGTGGACCAAGCTGTAAAATCATCTTTGGCTTGCTGAATACTCCTTAGCCTTTTTGTACAAAATGTTGGTCCAAGACTTGAACGCACAACCATGCTTTCTGTGGCCCACACTCCCATACATGCAACCGAAAAAAGGAACTTTAAAGGAATCCTCACGGGAAATCATGATTCAATTTTAACGCATAATCACTGGCTTGAGACCCATCATCCACGATAAGAATGAAAAGAACAGAAAATTGCATTTGTTTTGGTAAAAAAAAATTCGAAAAATCGAAAGGGCTGCTACGCGTTCAAAGTACCGCCGGACATCTGTCACAAATGCTGGCGACGGGAATGCTTCCATTCTCGGAGTGCCGTCTAGAAACTCTTTCTGGCCTTTTGACTTATTGCATTCACATCTTACACTTCTACTCCATCCTATTCTATCGATCGATTTGTCTCTACTCTCCGAAATCGCGCGCTTTAACCCGATTCTTTCATTGCGTCGCCTTGATACGTAGCCGGCGAAAGGCCAACTTCTTTCCTATGCCCCGCCTTTGGCTCCGCCCGAATTACCTTCGAGTTGTCCATAGAATGGATTCTCGGGAGTTTGTTTCTCTTCGGAAACCGAACCATTTTATGCATCCTCTCTGAAGACACACTCTGATTCTAGAAGAACGAAGAATTATAGAGATCACAACTGATACATTCCATGTTGGAGAAAGAAGGCAAGAAAGGTTTTTCGCTGGAGGATTCCTCTTTAAGGAATTTCTCGCGTCGCTCATTTAATCTCTATCTATAACACAAATTAAAAAAAATTAATTAAAGATAAAAATTTAGGGTGAGAATGTGAATTTTTATTTTTCTAATATGTGCTTAATGTGGATTCAAAAACTTTTTAGTTCAGCTAACTATTTCCTGTTATCGAAGAAGCTATTTTGTTGTAAAGGCCACCATATCAAGGAGGTTAAGGCAAGGACCTTACTAGTGCAGAGATATGTGGAGGAGAAATTTTTTCGGAAGAGATAAAGCTCACAAACCATTATAAGTTGAGCTTCACTGTCTTCGAATCCTCTCTGGACGAACACTCTGATCAGACCGTCGACACCGTATATCTGCAGTCGCCCTAAATCATTCTCAACTCTTATTCTTGCTAGGAAGATGAGCTGGAGAAGGTGTCTAATTGTTATTTTGTTCAGGAAATATTCCCATTTTTTGCGCTCATGGTTTAGGGCTCAATCCCGTTTATGGTAAGCCATGAGTAATATTGAGCAACTACAGATGAATGAAGAAAACCCGAAACAAAGATAGGAGGAACCATGCTGCACATATTTCAAGCGAAATATAGATAAAGGAATAAAGTGCTGACCTATTGACTGGGATACGCAAAGTTGCTGGCTATCATGAGATCACAGAAGCTGTTGAATAAACAACAATTGCAAGCGATTTACCCTTCTGAACGGGGAGCCTTTACCCAGAACGTTGACTCGTCGGGGACAGAAAGCTCACCCAGCTCGGACGAATTCGAGGGAAAATCCCCTATTGCATTGGACTGATCAGTCACTCTTCACGACTGCACGCATTTCGACTACCGCTTGCGTTGATCATTGGGTGTACGTCTGGCCACACCATCCCGATTACGAACCACTGTTTGTGCTCTTAACCCGACACAGATACCTGCAAAAACTCAGATCCCGAGGCGATAGAAGATTTTGTTCGGCCTTAAGATGGAATTCGATCTAACCTCAGACGACAAGTCTTTTTGCTGCCAAACTGATCTAAAAAACTGCCAACTTTATGGCTTTTGGGAAAAACCCTACCTGAATTTCTCCTTGTTTTCCAGTTACTCTTAAATTATCACAAGAAGAAGCGAAGCAATGTCCACGCGTTCATTTAATGAGTGGCGCAGCAAGCAAACAGAGGGAGTGACAGGCTCTCGAAAGTCCACAGGCCTCACGCGAGTAGTCCCCGAATAGATTCACTCAGAATGGACGAACTTCAAAATTTACCATCCCAATAGATCGTGGATGAAATCGTGGAGCTGAGTTGAGTGTGAGCTCAATTGCGTATGAAGAGCACATTCTATTCTACCAAAAAAGTTACATTGGGGCTTTCTACACCAACGACATCAGGAGATTTTCCCACGGAAACTTGGTGCACGGTACGAGCTCAACGGGGTCGTCGAGAAACCATAGACGATTACGACGTCTCTGAAACGCTGGTCAAAAGCCTTTGCATAGTCAGAGCTAGTGTCCCCTAAGAAGCCATTCACCAGTTATCCGATTGAAGAAATTATGTAGCAGCTTCAGAATGGAGCGATTATGGTAGGCCTCCTTGAGCTCGACGGTGATGACAGATGACGTCATATTCTGGAGACGGTGAAGGCAGCGAAGGTGGGCCTGATTCTGCTTATGGGGGGACATCTAAGGAATATTTCGCCGTATAACTCCCAATAACAGCGGCATCCTTTGCGACAGAAACTTTGATGATGTGCGCCATGGGCAAAGTGACTTTTTTGCCCCCCTCCCCCTGTACATAGGCTGCAATGTGTGATTAGAACCAATTCCTACATGGTATTTGGTTTCAGTGACCACGGCGATTGATAACCTATATCCTAAGCAGGGTGAATATCGCTTGAGGATTCCTCAACGGCACGTCGAGGATTCTCTGCCCGATCAGAGACGATCTCTCGCGCGGACATTCACACTCGCCATGCCGTGCCGTCTGTGCTCTCCGCGCGGATGTTCACTCTCGGCACTACTCTCGCATGGTAGAGAGCTATGGTCGAGGATTTCCTCGACCGTTATTCACCCTGGTAAGTGAGTGGAGCCAAGGTACGACCCTGATCCCATCCTAGACATGTTCTGATGACTCACCACACAGAAGCGGCTTGGGTACCTTTAGCTCAAGAACATGACCGTTTTTCGCTTAAAGGAATCTTCCACGGACCATGGACCAGTGGGCGGGACCGGAAGTGGTTTTGCGACGAAATGCATGGTAGGTACGGATCCACGTTCATGGGAAGGTTTGAAGTGAATCCTGTTCACGTTCGTGCGTTCGACACGTGGATCCGTACCTACCATGCATTTCGTCACAAAAACTTCCGGTCCCGCCCACTGGTCCATGGTCCGTGGAAGATTCCTTTAAGAAGTTATGAGAAGCTTTCAGAGCTTAACCGAGGAAGTTCGCTTCAAGAGGGTGTGGCAGCGCAATTCTAGAACGGTTTCTTGCATGAATATTAGGGACACAATGCGCGGGAACAAACCAGACCCACGCTAATTTTTCCTCAGCGGCTCTTCTGTAATTACCAAAAAAAGAGGGTCTCATGGTCCAGCGTTCCACGGACCGGACCGGGTGGAAATTTTTGCATTTGCGAAGTTGGAACGTATCCGAAGATTTCGCCGCGAAGGTAAGAGTTAGCATGAACGATGAATGCCATATTCATCACTAGGAAAACTTGTTGAAAAGCTGTGGCCCCAGAGAGGAGCCGTTCCTGTGTCACAACTTTTTCACCACTTTTTCAATCAAAGTCTATTTGTGGGGGTTACCGTCGGTTCTACGTATAAATATGGCATTCATAGTTCTTGCCAACTTCATTTTACGTGTGATATAGCAGCGTCCGAAAACTTGTCACTACCGAGGAATCGAACTAGGGACCTCCTTTTCTGGTATTCAGAGGGCCGTTCAGGAAAAATTGAACATGGTTCTGTGGTTCCCGCATCTGCCCCTATATCATGCAGAAGACCGTTTTCAAAAAGCTTGTCACGCCCTGAAAGACCTTCCTGGCTAGATTCCTTATCGTTAGGTTGCGACAAGAACCAGGCCGGATCTAATTTCACCAGTTTCGACAACTGATACAGAGGTAAGGAAGGTGATAATTTGATGCATTAGGTGCACTTTAATAGATTAATTAATCCATGTCAATCCGCATTTCCAAGTATTGCTACAGCCAGGGGACGATTGGAAGTAGCATGACTGCGACAACGCGACTCTGAGGTTAGACAAAGAAATGAAATTGATGAACTTGCCGGCCCGTTTGCGCTTCCCAGTGGTAGTCAGCAGCATCGAATCTGGCATTCGTTAACAGTTCCCACCCGCCCATGTGCGAAATAAGCGACAACATTGGGAGAGTTCCCTGGAATTTGAGAGCCTTCAAAATTTTCACACTAACTGTCGCAAAACCCTAACCAAAATTACCGCCTGAGACTTCCTCGTCCATGCAGGAGTTGTAATAGGTCCGAGACAAGGTCATAGCCTCTGACTCTTCTCCAGAAGAACTGTCTTCAAGTATGTCTGAAAATGGCGTCTTTGAAAAATAGCTCGAATGTGATGTATCAGTGAAAAACAAACCTTTCAAGTGAAGTTTGTGCTCTTTTTCCATCTCGAAGAGCACGTTGATTTTCTTTTCGTGTTCAGGCACTACTCGATTGGTGGCGAATGAACCACAAGCAAATGAATAGAAATCTTTGCAAGGATCCATTTTAGGTTTCATGTTGTTTAGATAGTTAGCCGCTGGAATACGGTCGTTGCAGGCATAAATAATAATATCAAATAATCACATAATATAATATAATAATCATAAATGATAATCATAAAATAATACTAATAACGAACAAAAATGATACATAATTGTATAAATAATAGCAGCAAAATACTAATCATGAAAAAACTGCATTAGAAAAGTTACCTAATCTGATGCATTTCTGTGATAGGCATAACGACTGATTTTGATGATTGAGCACCGAACATTACTTCGGAATTGATTGGGCAACGTCTGCTAAGGATTACCTTGAAAAGGCAGCGTTTCGAATAGGTTTTGTGGGAAAAGACGTTGACTCTAAAGGTTCTTCATATACACCATGTTCATGGAATCCCTCCCTTCGTGGCGATCCTACCCTTGGAGGTCTTGATCTCGTTATATTATGAGCTAGAAACTGGCATTCCTTTGATCACGTGAAAGGTGCTAAGGCCACACAACAGTTTGGCGCTGCACGTATGAGGCATCCATGAAATCGCCAAGCAGGCGCTGAATAAGTGTGGGATAGCCACTTTTCATTTTTTCAGGTGTGAAACCTGTGAGTCACATTTGATCGCTATTGAAGGTTAACTTGACAGCACATGGACCGGATATATAGCGGAGTCCTGGTCTTTCAATCTGTCTCACATAAAGATTGATGGGATTGTCGCTGCGTTATTCATTCGTTACCCAGTGTTCACAGCCCTCCTACCGCTTCACCGGCTTCAATTCGATCTTAAAAGCATATTCCAAGATGGGACTGGCGTGGTTCTGCACATGAATATGAAAGTATCGGTGGGAAATGGGCTGGCAGTGAAGCAAGGAGGAAAAGATTCTGTCGAAAACGCTCAGGATAAGGGTTTGACTCTCCGCAATGCGACCTAGACTGAGGCAAGAGAGCGCAACAGGTGAGAGGAGGGGAGACTGCGGCCTGCTGCGACAGGCAAAAATTGAAGCTGTTGAAGCTGTCTTTGTAATGTCGTAGAGCGCTTGTCAGGCGATCATGACGAAACGGCGAAATTGTTAGGCACGGCGTTTAAGTGTCTATTTGGGGTTCTCTGAAGTACGGAAGGGCAAGGGCGTTAATTGTAAACCTTTCTGCCTCTTGGCGTTGTGGCCTGTAATGGTTTGAAATTTAGATTTTGTTACGCGAATCCCGGCCTATGATTTTTGCATTTCCCGTCTCAATTGGTGGATTGCAAACAAATGTTGACCTTAGTACACAAAAACATCGGCTGTGACCGTAATTCTTTGTATAAACCAAACCCATTTAACACGTTGACGACATCGCCCGTTTTGGGTTTTTGCACCGCGTGGGACAGGACATTGCATTCGTTTTATTCACATGTTCGCGTTAATGAAAAGGAAATGAGAAATGAATTGAGCGGATATTTTCGTCAGGTCCGGAAAACCTCTGCCAGACTAAAGAATAATTGGTCGTTCTGTAAGCCACTTGGTTTTTGGCTATGTTAATATATGACCTATAAAATGGAAACACAAAAAACCTAGGGAGAAATCGAACATGTGCAAATAATAAATGTAATTGGTGTGGCATATACATAGTTGCCGCACAATGTCGTCAAGGTGTTAAAAGCTGCTAGACTGCGAATGGAAGCTGATGTGTGGTTTATAACAAAAGTGTTGACAATGCCTAACGAATTTTTCTTCTCAAAATAAAGAAACATAATTTTTCATTTTTGGGGTCAAAAAATAAGATACTGTGCTAAGATGGGGGCACAGTGCTTGAGGAATTCATGTTAAACAGAAAGGGAAAGAGGAGAGAAAAGCAGGGATTGAAACTCATTTATGGGGAGCGGCGATGATATATACGTCCTGCTTGGCACTTCACGGGATGAGCATTGCCCCATGGCCCCTATTCATGTCCAAGCTACGCGAAGGCTTGTCTTGAGCGGTCATGTGGTAGAAGTTGCCCGAAAGGGTTGAGAAAGTAATTCATCATACTTTTTTGACACCTTTCGAAACAGAACAGCTGTTCTTCGAATTTCAAATCTGCAATGAAAGGGCAAAATGGAAACACTCAAAGTTCTGTAAAGGTTCATAGAGCGTAAGCCATTTCGACATCGTTACGAAATAGGGCCGATGCATTCTAGCTTCGGTATCGGAGTCATAGTGGCATTTCGACTACATTGTGCCCCGCATAACTGCTGATGCTGAGGCCAAGAATCTTATAATGTCACGCGTTTTTCTCTCTACCTCCCAACCAACGCAGGGACCTCTGGTGTGACGCGGGTGACGACGTAGTGAGAGAGAGGATGATCTGTTTGGCCCGAGACTTGGTCCTTGGACCGCATGCAGGTGATAAACTGCCAGCTCGCCCCTGCGCCATCTCATCCTTCACTGCTTGCAGAGATCACATATTTAACAAGACAATGAGACATGATTGAGTGCAGGTAATCTTTCGAAAGAAAAAACCTGCGAATGCCGATTAAATGCCTGCCGGTGAAGAGATGGATGGCTCGACAAGATTATCTATCTCTTTTTTCACAATTCGCGTGCTGAATTTGCGGCAGAAAGGCTCTTATAACCACATGACTCCGGCCGAACAAGCAATCGCTGTACCACATAATAGTTCTGTTTTCTAAAATTGATCTTAACCCGTCAAAAAATTCCGTTCTGATCAAAGAGGAAAGAAACACAGTAAGTACAGAAGTCCTCATTACGATTCACATGCTTATAAAAAACAAGGCAATAAACTTTGATTCTGCAGGTATAAATCTCGATCACATCGCCTTGCGGTAGGCGATAAACACTTGCTCAAAAAAGGCAGACGTGCAGTTGGGCTTGAGAAATCGAAAAAAGTAATTCATATAGAAAGTTTTATTACGCAATTATTCTCTATTGGCAAGTTTTCTGGAACTCTGGCCAGATCTGCACAACTGCTTAAAGAGGCAAAGGTGGGCAGGGCTCAGGCATGTATGAGAAGTTAATTCCGTGCGTTGGAAGATTTGATTGATGGGTAGTCTGCACACATCGTGCTGCACTTTGTCCACTTTGAAAACAAACCCCGCTCAAAGGCCCGGCCGGGCGTCCGGTTATCTCAATCCAGGCGCCGCTGCGTCCAAGTGCCAGGCACGTACCCACTCCGGAAGTGGTGCGTGGCTGGCATAACGTGTGAAATCAGCTAGGTTGATTGCCGTATCAACCGATAGAACGACTGACATCTCCAGAAAACTTGTTTGTACGTGCCTCTTTCCCCAAGCCAGCCTCCTTCACTGCTAGTGGGAAAGAGGGTTTTGTTTAACGAGGCGCTCTGTGCAGAGCTTGGTACTCAGTTTCATCGCCATAATACGCCCCTCAGTTTGAAGGCCGAACTTCTGCCTTAGTAGGAAGTAAAGTTTAATGGACTTGGCCACGAAAGAGCAGCGCCAGTTCTTGCGGCTACATTCCCGCCAGATCAACACAGTGGTGGGACGGAAAGCAGATTTGAATGGCGGTGAGAGGACCGCCACGCGATACTATCACTTTTTGTCTGTGAGCGGCGCCACTTGACATTCACTCAATACTTACGCCAAAACGGAACCATACCGTTTTGTTTGACAAAAGGTTGCTTGGATAGACTGACGCCGAAAGGGACGAAACAGAGAGACCCGAGAGAGAGGAGAGAGGAGAGGGAGGAGAGAGAGCGCAAATGATTGACTAGAAACACACCCTCAAACCAAAAAATCGGCCAGGCGCAAGAACCATAGTGCTAACTCGTTCAGTCGGCCGCCTCCATTCGCCTGAAATCAAGGAACAAACGTTATCTGGGCTCGACTAAACTGTACCTAAGAACATCGGACAGAGCTCTGAATTAGTGGTCCTACCTAGAAAGGGACGACGTCGTCGAAGTGCGCAATGACAGCGGCCACACTGAGCATGGCAATAGGAGAGAGAGGACTAACGAATTGAAGGGGTGAACCTGAACGGCATCTGTGACCTAGTACCTACCAAGCGGACAATCATCTTCGAAACAACACAAAACGGCCCCTCGTTTTGCTTGGCCACTAAACAATTCTATAGGAGTGCTGGGTGTAGCTCAGAACATCAGAACTGCGTCCGCGCGATACTTGCAGTGACGCAGTTAAGTATAATATAAATATGTATTACAATATCAAGTATTGTGCTACCAAATTTTCTGGCGCAAATTTTATCACCAGATTGAGACACTGCTGCGCGCTACCTTCTATGACAAGCATTTTCTGGGAATAAAGCGTACTTTTTTCTACGAAGACAGTTTGTGCTTTGTGACGCCGGACTACGAACCATAACTACCTCTACGGCAGGCATTCTGGATGTAAATGTAAAGGATGCGATTACTACAGCCAAAGGGGCGATAGTTTCATGACAAGTACTATCATAACACTTTTCGTTTGTTTTGCACGTATTACTGCTTTTATTTGTGGTACTTCCGCCAGGTCAGCACGAGGTCGCGCTAGATTCCCTATTGGAGGTACTTGTCCCGCACCTGAGCATCCTTGTGATACATATCATTCATAACATGTTCATATTTAAAGGAGGAATTCACGATTAGAATGAAGGTCGAAGAAAGGGAAACTGACCTAGTTGAGGGACCCACGGACCTCCTGAGGGTGCGAACTGACGCGCAATTCGCATGGAAAAATTTGACCTCGGCGACCTATCATGCCTCAAAGCTGGCGGGTCCGGCGATCTCCGCCCACCGATCATCTGATCACTCGCCGTAGTTCAATACGTGGCTGAGAGAGCGTAGTGTTGAAGAGGGCACAGCGATGAGAGTCGCATCAATGCTCAAATCAACGGGCAAGGAAGGGGTCCCATTTCTCGGGTTCTGGGCCGTTTCTCATGGTTCTTCCTTCTTTCGTGTACCACTCACCATCCCTAGGTTAATTTGAAATGGGTTGCTTTTTCATCGTGAATTCGTCCTTTAACAAGCTGTACAATCCAAAAGGTCTCTTTTTTCAAGATTTTATTCACAATGCGTGACACTCATAAATTCG